GTCCCTGGGACCTGCCATACTTGCTCCTTGCTCTAACACTGGGCCCAAGGTGGGCAGTCCAGGAGAGTAACCATCTTGCCTGGAACGCCCAGTGCTCCTGCAGGGCAAAAGGCAATGGGGTGCCAGGCCCCCTGGTGCTGCTTCCCGCCTCCTGCCCTGCAAAGCCACGGGGAGACCGCCATCATGGGAAGGCTAACACATTTAAAAAGCTGCTTTTTAAACCAAATGCTGCGTGGCCCTGCACTGGTCTGTGCTTTTCTTCAGGGCCGGCACCTGCACACAGGCCTTCTCTGCCCCATCACCCTCCAGCGACCACCTCCCAGATCCGTCAGCTGCAGGTAGGGCCCACCCTCCCTCGTGGGACCTCACAGTCTGTGAGTTTCCTCCTCTTCTTCCCTCTCCTCATTCTGACCCACAGCCGGCAGGGACTGAATGGGGAGCCCAGCAGGTGAGCACAGCAAACATCTGCCCACCCTAGCTCCTTCGCAGGGGGACAGGGCCTCGGATCACTTGACTCCCTGGGCCCCAGCACAACATCTTCTCGCCCTCAGGGAGCCCTGGGTGCCCAAGGCTCGTGCTGGGACTTCACCCTAACTTGGCGTTCCCGCCCCAGCCCACCTGCAGGGGCCCACCACATGCTCCCAGCCCGTGTCCAGGACCCTGCGCTCCAGACTGCATTTGCTGCTGCCTCGGTGGCCCAGCCAAGGTCATGCGGGAGGCTTGTGGCCACCCAGCCATGGGCTTGCCGGGGCGTGGGGACACCGCGGGTTGTGTAAGCGTACCTGCAGCGGGAACGTGGTCGCCTGGTTGCCCTCCTAGCCGCGGACGACATGGCTCTGGATGGAGAGCACCCCGCACTCTTCCTCCATGCTGGCCTGCTGGGGGCAGCGTTGGGCGGGGCATATCAGCATCTCCCCGCTTGTGGGGCTGAGCTCAGGCCTGGCTTGGCCCTTTTTTTTTTTTTTAAGATTTTATTGGAGAATTGGGGGGAGGGGAACAGTGTTGGAGAATTGGGGAAGGGGAACAGCCAAGTTGTTCTTCAATCTTAGTTGTGTAGGACGCAGCGAGCTCTTAGCTCCCAAGTCCTGTCACACTGCTCAGCTCAAGGTGCCATGTTCAATGAGTTGCAGGTGGGCATAGCCATCATCCCATGCGGGAGTTGAACAGGCAGCCTTATTAAGAGTGTGTGCTCTATCCCCTGAACCCCCAGGCGGCAGCTCAGCTCAAGGTGCGGAGTTCAGTCTTTAGTTGCGGGCAGGTGTAGCCCACCATCTCTCCAACAGGCAACCTTGTTGTTAGGAGCACATGCTCTCACCAGCTGAGCCATCCTGCCACCTGTTGGCAGTTCAGTGGCAGCTCAGCTTGGTTGCAGCTCACTGGCCCATGTGGGAATCGAAGTGACGGCCCTGTTGCTCAGAGGTCTTGAGCAAGCTTTTAACCAGCTGAGCCACTCAGCTGGCTCCGCAACACTATTTATTGGAGAGACTATACTTTCCCCATGATGTGTTCTTGGCACACTTGTCAGAGATTAGTTGACCATATATACATGGGGTTTATTTCTGGGCTCTCTGTTCCTCTATTCTCTTCCATTGGTCTGTCTGTTTTTATGCCAGTACCATACTGTTTTGATTAGTATAGCTTTGTAATTGTTTGAAATCAGGAATGTGATGCCTTCAGCTTTAATCTTCTTTCTCAAGATTGCTTTTGTTATTCAGGCTCTTATATGGTTCCATATGGGTTTTAGATATGTTTTACTATTTCTGTGAAAAAGCATTTGAATTTTAATAGGAATTGCATACAAACTGAAGATTGCTTTGGGTACTATACCCATTTTAACAATATTAATTTTCCTGTTTCATGAGTATATGATATCTTTCCAATTATTTTCATCTTCAGTTTCCTTCTTCAGTGTTTGATACATTCCATAGTATACACTTTTGAGCTTCTTGGTTAATTTATTCCTAAGTATTTTATTGATCTAGATGCTTGTGTAAGTGGGATTGCTTTCTTTGTTTCTCTTTCAGATATTTCATTGTTAATGTCCTGAAACACAAGTGATATTTGTATGTTGATTTTGTGTCCTGCAACTTTACTAAATTTGTTTATTTGTTCAGACAATTTTTTGCAGTAGTCTTTAGGGTTTCTGTATGTAAGATCATATCATCTGCAGGGGTGATTTTGCTTCCTTTCCAATTTGGATGTCTTTTATTCTTTTTCGTGCCTAATTGCTCTGGCTAGGACTTCATTACCATGTTGAATAGAGGTGATAAAAGAGTAGCCATCCTTGATTTATTTATTGATTGATTTTTGTAGTGGGGAGGCATTTTTCCAAGACCTATCAGCTCCAAGTCAAATAGTTATTTCAATCTAGTTGTGGAGGGTGCATCTCAGTGGCCCATGTGGGAATCAAACTGGCAACCTTGGTGTTATGAGCACTGAGCTCTAATCAACTGAGCTAACCAGCCTCCCCCATCCTTGTTTTTTTGTTCCTGATCCTAGACAACAAAATTTTAGGTAATTTTTTACTATTGAATACAATGTAGGCTGTTGGCTTGTCATATCTGGCACATATTATGTAGAAGTACATTTCTCCTGTACCTAACTTGTTGAGCGTTTTTATCATTAAAGTATGCTGAATATTTTGAAATGCTTCTTTTGCATCTGTTGCAATGATCATATGATTTTTTAAACTTCATTCTAATAGGTGGTGTATCACATTTATTGACTTTTGAATGTTGAGGCACCCTTGCATTCCAAGGGTAGTACCAACTTGATCTTAGTGCATTATATTTTGAATGTGCTGTGGAATTGAGTGTGATAGTATTTTATTGAGGATTTCTGCTTGTCTGTTCACGAATATTGGGACATAATTTTCTGTCCTTGTAGAGTCTTTGAGTGGCTTTTGTAAAAGGGTGATTATAGGCCTTATGAAAGAAGTTTGGAAGTGGCCTATCTTTAATTTTTGGAAGAGTTTGTGGAGGATTGATGTTAAGTCTTCTTTAAATGTTTGGTAGAATTCGCCAATGAATGTGTCTGATCCGCAGTTTTTTATTGTTGCCATATTTTTTATTATAGATTTACTCTACTTAGTAGTTATTGGTCCACTCGATTTTCAGTTTTTCATGATTAAGTCTTAGTAAGTTGTATGTTTCTAGGAACTTAGCCACTTCTTCTAGGTTATCCAATTTATTGGCATTTACTTGTTCACAGTAGTCTTATAATCCATTGTTTTTTCATGGTATATGTTGTAATGTTTCTCTTTCATTTCTGATTTTATTTTATTTCTTTCTTATCTTTTAGTTTACCTAAAAGTTGGTAAATTTTATCATTTTAAAAATGAGTTCCCTGTGTCATTTACCATATTTCCCCAGGTATAAGATGCTCCCATGTATAAGACACACCTTAATTTTGGGACCCAAAACTTGAAAAAAAATTACATAAAGTTATTAAACTCAAGTTTTATTCATTATAAAATTCATATAACTCCTCATCACTGTCAAAACTCCCAACCATTAGGCTTGTCCTTATCTGTATCTGATGACGAATCACTGTCTTCATATATTGCCTCATCCTCAGTGGGAAATGCAAGTAAAAAAAATCTACAACCACTGTATAAAGCGCACCCAGTTTTTAGACCCCAAATTTTTCAAAAAAGGGTGTCTTATACATGGGGAAATATGGTATCATTTTCTATTTTCCTAGATTTCTTTTTTCATTTATTTCTGCTCTGATCTTTGTTATTTCCTTTCTTCTGCTAAATTTGGGCTTAATATAGTCTTACTCCAGTTCCTTGAGATATAAAGTTAAGTTGTTTGAGATCTTTCTGTTTCACAGTGTAGGTATTTATTGCTGTAAATTTCCTTCTTTTTAAAGATTTTATTGGGGAATTGGGGGAGGGAACAGCGTTGGGGAATCAGGGAGGGAACAGACAAGTTGCTGTCCTTTTTGGTTCTTCAGTCTAGTTGTAGAGGACGTCGCTTCACTGGCCCATGTTGGTATTGTGATCATTACACTCTTCCCGGCTGAGGCAGATCGGTTGCCGGTCATTGGATGGCAGCTCACAGCAGCTCACACCAGCTGCCGACTGCTCACAGTAGCTTACAGCAGCCCACTGCAGCCTGTGCCATCGCTGGCAACTCCCAGCAGCCCAGCTCCAGGTCGAGCTGTTGTTCACCATCTTAGCTATAGAGGGTGCAGCATCACTGACCCTCATGTGGGATCTGAACCGGTGGCCCTGCTGCTCAGAGCCTGCGCTCCTAAGCCAACTGTTAACCAACTAGGCACTCAGCTGGCCTAAATATCCTTCTTACAACTGCTTTTGCTGTATCCCATAAGTCTTGCTATTTTGTGTTTCTGTTTTCTTTGTCTTAACATATTTTTTGGTCGGGTTTTTTTTTTTGAACCCATTGATTTTTCAAGATAGTGTGGTTTAATTTCTATACAGTTTCGAATTATCCAGCTTTCCGCCTGTTATTTTGTTTTGTAATACCATTGTGGTTGGAAAAGAAACCTGATATTATTTCAGTCTTTTTAAGTTTTCTAAGACTGGTTTGAGACCTATAACATATGCACTTGAGAAGAATGTATCTTCTACCTTTGGATGAAATGTTCTGTGTAGATCTATTAGGTTTATGTATCCTAAAATATCGTTCAAGTACAATGTTTCCTTATTAATTTTCTGTTTGAATGATTTGCCCATTGTTAAAAGGGGAATATTGACAGGTTCTATTATTGTTGTGTTGCTGTCTATTTCTGCCTTCTATGCTCTGCCACTCTATCTTGTATCACACCTGTTTTTGTATTTTTTTCCTGCTGAGGTTTCTGCCATTCTTCAAACTTATGGGCACAGCAATACACAGTAGCCACTTCAACTACATTGCAATTCCCTTGTCTGAGAAGCATCTTAAAGATTCATGCCTAGTGACAGATGCACATTTGTGATGGGATTACCCATTCCTATAAGGTCAACATGCAATTCACCAGCATTTCTTTGTGTTCAGGTTGCTGCTGTGGAGCAGAGGATGTGGAGGCACCCACTGAGCAGAGCGCTTCTGTGGGAGTGTCACAGACAAGGATCCCTGAGGTAGCTCTGACTTCCCAGAAGACCCATCTCTGCAGAATGTGTGGTCCGGTCTTGAGAAGCATCTTCCACTTGGCTGAGCAGCAGGGAACACAACACAGCCAGAAACTGTTGAGGTGTGGAGCATGTGCAAAATGCTTTCATTTCAGTGCAAACTTTCACCAGCACCAGGAGGACCAAGTGGGAGAGACACCCTTCAGGAGCAGTGTGGACAGGTCCTTGATTGTGAAGACCTGCAGTTTTCATGTGTCACAGAAGCCTTTTACCTGCTGGGATGTTGGGAAGGACTTCTTGACCAGCTTGGGACATCTGCAGCAACAGTCCACTCTAACCAAGGAGGAGCCTAACAAAATCAACCTGGACACAACTTCACAAAGCAGTAAAAGTCATTACACTTGGGGAGAATGCACAAAAGCTTTTAGCCCCATACTTACACTTGGTCAGGACCAGACTGTTCACGCTGAAAGAGAGTGTTTTGTATGCCATGAATGTGGGAAAGCATTCGGAGACAGAGCTTCACTTGTTTTGCACCAGAGAGTTCACACTGGAAGTTTTCCTGCTTGTGGCGAATGTGGAAAATTCTTTGGGAAAAGCTCAACCCTCAGTCAAAACCGGAGAATTCATCTGGGGACAAAGCAGTACAAGTGCAGCAAATGTGGGAAATCCGTAAGCCACAAATCTGTCCTCATTGATTCCCAGAGAGGACTCCAAGAAAACAGCTATGTGTGCCATGAATGTACGAAATCTTTTACCTCTAGCACTGCCCTCAGTTATCATCACAGATCTCACACAGGAGAAGGACCTTATGAGTGCAGTGAATGTGGGAAATCCATTAAGCATAGTTCTAACTTCAATCGACACCGGAGGCTTCACACGGGAGAAAGGCCTTATAGGTGTTGTGAGTGTGTGAAATCCTTTACTTCTAGCTCTGCCCTTCGTGACCATCAGAGTGTTCATACAGGAGAAAGGCCTTATGAGTGCAGTGATTGTGGGAAATCCTTTAGGGATAGTTCCTACTTCAGTCGACACCGGAGAGTTCACACAGGAGAAAGGCCGTATCAGTGTAGTGAGTGTTTGAAATCTTTTACCTCTAGCTCTGCCCTCATTTATCATCAAAGATCTCACACAGGAGAAAGACCTTATGAGTGCACTGAATGTGGGAAATCTTTCAAGCATAGTTCCCACTTCAGTCGACACAGGCGAGTTCACACAGAAGAAAGACCTTACGAGTGCAGTGAATGTGGGAAATTTTTTAAGACTAGATTCCATTTAAGTCGACACCAGAGTGTTCACAGCAGAGAAAAGCCTTATGAGTGCAGTGATTGTGGGAAATCTTTTAAGGATAGTTACTACTTCAGACGACACCAGAGTTCACACAGGAGAAAGGTCGTATCCGTGTAGTGAGTGAAATCTTTTACCTGTAACTCTGCCCTCATTTATCATGAAAGATCTCACACAGGAGAAAGGCCTAATGAGTGCACTGAATGTGGGAACTCCTTTAAGCTTAGTTCTCACTTCAGTCGACACAGGCAAATTCACACAGAAGAAAGACCTTATGAGTGCAGTGAATATGCAAAATATTTTAAGGATAGATCCCAATTAAATCAACACCAGAGTGTTCACACAGGACAAAGGCCTTATGAGTGCAGTGATTGTGGTTAATCCTTTAAGGATAGTTACCTCTTCAATGAACACCAGAGAGTTCACACAGGAGAAAGGCCATATCAGTGTATTGAGTGTGAAATTTTTCACCTGTAGCTCTGCTCTCAGTTATCATCAAACATCTCACACAGGAGAAAGGCCTTATAAGTGCAGCGAATGGGGGAAATTTTTTTTTTTAAGATTTTATTGGGGAATTGGGGGAGGGGAACAGACAAGTTGCTGTCCTTTTGTTCTTCAGTCTAGTTGTGGAGGACGTCGCTTCACTGACCCATGTTGATATTATTATTGCACTCTTCCTGTTGAGGCAGTTGCTCACCAGCCATTGGACGGCAGCTCATGAAAGTTCATACCTGCTGCAGCCTACGCCGTCGCCAGTGACTCACGGCAGTCCAGCTCCAGGTTGAGCTGTTGTTCGCCATCTTAGCTGTAGAGGGCGCAGCATCAATGATCCTCATGTGGAATCCGAACTGGGGTCCTGCTGCTCAGAGCTGGCATCCCAAGCCAACTTCTAACCAATATACCACTCGGCAGGCCCCAATGTAGAAAATCTTTTAAGGCTAGTTCTGGATTGATTAAACACCGGAGAGTTCACACTGGAGAACATCCTTATGAGTGCCACGAGTGTGGGAAGTCTTTTACCATTAGCTCTGCCCTCCATTGCTGTGAGAGGTTTCACAGTGCGTCGAGGCCTTATGTGTGTAGTGTAGCTCTCATCTTCCTTATCATCAGAGAGTTCATACAGGCAAAAGGCCTTATGAGTGTAGTGAATGTGGAAATGTTTTAAGCAAAAATCTCACCTCTCAAACACCAGATAATTCACAATAGAGAAAATCCTTAGAATACAGTAAATACTGGAAATCTTTTAGTTTCAATGTCCATTATCATCAGAGGGTCCACACAGGAGAAAGGCCTTATGAGTGCAGCAAAAGAGGGAAATTTCTAATAGGAAAATGTATATTCACTCTATGAGTTCACAATAGAAAAAGGCACTGATGAGCAATTTCATTGATCCTTGTTAGGACACTGGTGTTAAGTCTGTAGAAGCCATCTGTCTGAATTGACTCTGATACATGTGAATGTGCACAGTGTGGAGATTCTCCATAGGCTTCAGTTTTTGGGAAGGTGTGGCTATGTTGTACTTTCTAACCTTCCCAGGCCTCTTGCCAGGTTTATATCAGCAGAAGCTATTTCACCTTTACCACCTGGCAGGTCCACATCCATCACCATCCCAATGTGCTCAGGGAAGTGAATTGTTCTCCCATGTATTGAAGGAAACTAGGAGTAACCTGAGCCCTTAGGGGGGTCAGCTTTCCCTCCTTGACAACCTTGACCTGGGTCATTGTTGTCTCAGAGAATACCATATGAGTTTGCCTGGCAGCTTTCCACAAGAACTCTAATTTTTAGGGTCGTGTTGGTCTCATGATACAAGTTTTTCCAGCTTCCAAGTCATGAACTTTACACTCAGTGCCTACTGTACATTGCTTTAGTTTGTACAATAATGAAGGTCTTACTATTTAAGTCCTTTTTAATCTTGGGTGCTCTGTTTACTGTATTTGCTGTGTGGGGTAGTTTATAAACTGATTTGGGGTCTATAAGAATGAAGAGGAGAAAAGTTTGTGGGTCTCTGCCCTGAGCAGGGGGACAGTATAGTATTATGGCAGAAAATAGTTTGCTGGTTTTGACCAAATTTGTATTGCTGCTCTTTTCTAAAGGTGCGTCCAGAATGTTTGTGACAGTAGCTACCAGAATTTGTGTGTATGCAAATTTTAGGACCTCAGACATGTTTATCTTGTATGGCTGAAGAGAAAATAATAAAGGTTTTGTGGATTCCTGTAGCCTCTCAGTGATGTTTACCTCAGAGCCATTGCTGCACAGGCTGGAAAAAAAAGATAGAAGAAAGGGGATTTGTACCATCCGGAGATGTGGCTCTTGTGACCTAGGCAGCATTGTTGACGTCTGTTTTTCATTTGTCCCCATACTTGGCTGCCACTAAAGAAAGGAAGACTGACTCCCCAGAGGACATGAAGACAGAGATGGTGGAGTCAATACAAAATTGCCAAACTTATTTTCCAAAATGAGTCGGATGTACAGATTTTTAAAATCTTGAGCCAAGTTTTAAAGCCTTATTAAGGTACAATTTACATATACTAAACTATATTTTATTTTTTTAATTATTTTTTAATTACAGTTGACATACAATATTAGTTTCAGGTTTACAACATAGTGATTAGATAGACATTTATATAACTTATGAAATGATCACCTGTGAAGTCTAGTACCCACCGAACAGTTTACAGTTATTACAATATTATTGACTATATAAACATTTTAAAGTGTACAGTTTGATAAGTTTTGACATAGGTATGAAACTCTCAAACCATCATCAAAGTCCTGATAATGACCATAACTGTCAACTTTATAATTAACTCATTTTCTTTTTTTTTTTTTTAAGATTTTTATTGGGGGATTAGGGGGATGGGAACAGCGCTGGGGAATTAGGGAAGGGGAACAGTCAAGTTGCTGTCGTTTCGGTCTTCAGTCTAGTTGTGGCGGACATTGCTTCACTGGCCCAAGTTGGCACCATCATTGCGTTCTTCCCGAGCGAGGCAGATCAGCCTCCCGCTTCTGGACAGCCACTCACTGCGGCTGCTGGCCACTCACGCTGGCTGCTGGCTACATACGGTAGCC